ATATTATAACTTTTAAATAATCGATTTATATTGCCATTTTATTTTTAGTACTTGTATAGGTCCATAAATGGTGTCTAGAAAAAATCTAAAAATATTTATACACTTTTTTAAAATCTTAAAAATGCTATCCTTGATTAAGACCAAAACGTTAAACATTTTGTCCAAATCCAAATCTAAATGGTATAGGTACTTAATGATGTACAGGAAAGGTTTTAAAAATATTTATACATTTTATTTGAGGTATTATGAAAAGATATACTTAAATTTAGTCAAGTAGCGTTTCTAAATTTCGCTTAATCTAACAAAAGGTTAACAATTATTTTAAACATTTTGGATATATATTCCTTTTCTATATTAGTTTTTTTAAGTGCGTCGTACTCGCTCCTTCTTCCTTTTTCCTAAAACTGTGTGGGCGTGTACATGAGCTTGAGCTGCTGGGCGTGGCAGCTGCTGGTACTGTGCTGGAAAATATTATAATAATAATAATATAATATTATTTGCCGCTGCCTGAGTTGAGTTTTGGCCAACCTAAACTTTGTCGGAACTCTACGGGTGGTTCAACTTGAATCCTAATCACATACGCAGTCAAAGAATCAAGTTAAGCCAGCCAAAAACAGCGATTCAAGTACGAACCGCCAAGTCATCACCTCGAGGGCTAACACACACACACACTCATACTTACACACACTACACCTATTTCTACACCCACACTGCGGTAGCAACGCTAATGGCAAATTAGATTGCGCATACGCCTCGTTTGCACTTGAATTCCCTTTGATTTGCGAACGCGAAATTCACACGGTCACACGGAGAAAACAAAACTAATGCGCAATTAATGACATCCGCTTAGCGGGCCAAAAACTATGCAACATTTTTATGTCGAGCGGCAAATTTTACGGCGTCATAAACACGCCACCAATGGGCGTGTAATCTCCAACCCCAAAAACCCAACTCCTCTGCTAATTTCCAACACGACTTGTCGCCGCTGCTCATCATAAAACGGGTATCTCCATTAATTGACCAAAAGAACCACGAGTCTTCTCGCCTCGGGCTTTGATTTTCTTGGACCCGGTGGTTCGTTTGCCTTTTTCGAGATTTTCTTTTTTTTTATTTTTAGCGCCGCTCACGCGAAAATGCCATTAAATTGATGGGTCGCCAGAGTTTGCACGATTCGTCGACAGTCGACAGAAACAATTAAAAATGTTATAAAAATGTTATATGCAGGTTGGTTGGTGGCCAGCCGTCCGTTGGTCCTTTCGTCGCTTGTCGCCTGTCGATATGGACAGTGCTGATAAAAGCAAACGGCACTTAAACGTGTCAACAATGGGCACGACAAGCGCAGCAGCCTCGAATTGATGAACAAAGGACTCTGCAGGCCTCACCCCCAAAATATCACACCCCTCGATGATGACAAATTTTTTGCCCCATCCTTTTGGAGAGGGTTGCGCGGGACAGATTTTCGCAATCAGTTTTATGTTGTTCAAGTGGCAGGCAAGCGCTCATTGTGATTGGCCTGCCATGGCCAAAAAACAAGCCACCAAACTCACACATATAGTTTAAGCACTGCGAGAAATAAAGCATAAAACATAAAATGGGCCTTAAAAATATTTGATCACTTACTTTGACAAGCTCTTCATTTATTTTAATATTACCATCCTGGACATTATTAAATGAATATTTTAGGAACATATGCAACAGCAATCAAAATATTTCTATCAAAATGTATGCCGTTCTTTATATGTAAATGCAATAAAATAATTTCCATAAAATACTAAGTACTATCCTATGTGTTAAGTAAATTTTTAATTGTGAATTTATAAATCAAATTTTTGTTTCTATAATAAATTGTAATATATGTATTTTTGATTGCTCAATCAATAATCAAATTTTTGCCATGACCAATTACTTTTATTGTTCTAACATTTAGTTATTTTTTAAACACCTTTGAAAGTATCTCAATCGAATTATTTATCTCTGTGCATGTACATATCGCTCTGTTCAGTCGGGGGGAATATATATAGAGACACCAAACAGTTTTGCAATTAATTTCTGGCCAAAAGCAGGAAAACGTTGGTTGTTGCCGCTGCTGCTGTGGCTGCCATAAAAGTTAGATAAATGGTACGAATATAGACAAAAACTTTCGATCACGCAGCCACGCACGCATTTTATGGAGGGGTGGAGCCGGATCCGGATCCGGTTCAGAGGGGTCGAAAAGGGGGTCGAAAAGGGGGTCGAAAGGGGGTCGAATAGGGGCTGGCACTGGGTCTCTGGTCGCGGCTTTGTCAGATTTTGAAGTGGCAAGCCAAAAACCAAGAGCAAGCCAAGTGGAGCGACTGCCGATTATTTATAGTTGAGAAACTTTTGTCATTTACGTTCGAAAATTTAAATTTTAATTGAGTTTTCTTGCAATCAGGAAGTGGAGCTGCCGGCGAAGAGGGTGAGCAGGGGGCAAAAACTGGGGTCCTTGGGTCAAAAGCTAGTTGCGAGTGGAAAAGTCAGGTGTTGGGCTCAACTTTAGCTTTGCCGCCTGATGGGGTGAGCTTTGTTATCGAAAATGTTTTGTTAACTTATTCATAGAAAATGGTGCAGCTCCCCATATATATCTATAAGCCATTTAAAACTACAAGTTGAAAAATCAAAGATTTAACTTCACTGTGATTGACGGAACTAGCACAGATTGATGGCAACTTTACCTATTGCTTATAGGGTATATCAAAGTCAATTCACACAGCAGGTCCATATTTGTTGTTGATTTACCAGGCAAAGTGCATAGAACAAAACTTTTCTCTTCGTTGTTTTGTTGCTAAAATGCCGCAATACCAAAAAAAAAGAGCAGAAAAAAGAAATACATCAACTCAAATAGTAAAAAAGGAAAATAAAAATAAAACTTTGAGTTGCAAACAAGCTAAAAATTGTTGTTTGCCATTGTGGCAAGCGATGGTTGTTGTAATTTTGATTGCTTTGTTATGTGCCCAATGTGGGTGGCAATAAAACCTGAGGATCCCCTCCAGTCCGCTCCATTCCAGACTCTAAATTCCCGGCCAACATGTGTAACTCGTCGGAATAGGTTGGCTAATGAAAGCAATAACAACTGTCGGAGGAGCCCTATCAGCAGCCCATTCAAATGAGGCTCAAACAAAGGAAATAAATAAAAATCAAAGGGAAATAAAAAGGGTGGCCACGAAAACAGCAATAAAGCAGCTAATAGACTAGATTAAAGTTGTACCGGCAGCCGGCGCATAAATTGCTCATTGAATGTTTTTTGCCAGAAGTAAAAACGCTGATGCCAAACAATTTGAAGCGAATTTAGCCCGAAAAAAGCAAGCATCTAAAAATGCCTTCAATGACCGTAAGCCATAAAACACACGCGGCTCAATGGCGGCACGGCCAAATGACAGAGTTCATGTATCATTATGGCTTCGCCGGAACTTATGGCCAAAACACTGACCAACAGGACACTGGACCCTAATCCAAATGGGTATCCATTTCGGGCTCTCAAGCTAATCTTCAGGCTGTTCAGATCCAACAGAGTGGGTTAAATGTACTGGTTCGTATATTTCCAACTATTTGTATACCTAAGCCAGAAAATCTTGGTTTTACCTACAACACAGGACGTTTCCAAATTTTAAGAGAGGTATAAAAAACATATAATTATTTTTACTATCCATAAATCTTAAATATTTTTTAAATTTTTAAGGACTTGGTAAAATGTTTATAAAATATTATTATACTTTTCTTTCCTTAAAATTTCACTAAGTTCTATTAAGTAATGACTTTATACAATTCCTAATCATGTCTTAACATTCTTCAACCTTCTTTTCAATTAAAATTTACTTCTTCAAGGGGATGCAAATGTAGTAAATCATTTAAATAGGTCTGGTAGTTAACAAAATATGGTTGAAAAGTACATATGTTTGTAATATAGTACATGGCAGAGTACAAATTGAAACTTAATTCCCTTAAATCAACGGCGTTGCAAACTTGTTAATTTCAATTAACCAGCCGAAAACGCTGGTAAATTCAATCATTTTCAATATTCAGTAATTAAATTTAAGGCCAAAGGTAGTCGGAAACCGGCTGTGATACTGGATGCCTCGGCTGGTTGTCATCACAGCGAACGCATTACTGGCATTTCAGCAGGAGGCGAATTCAGCCGGTAAATGAAATACAAATGTGGGTGGTGCAAACCGAAAGCCACAGAAACAACTCAAAATCGCAATATGACACATATGTGAACAGACGTAGCAAAATACCAAATAGCAAAACCGAGCCGAACCAACATTCAGGCAAAAAGTATAGCCAGCATTGCAGCGTTAAACATGCAAAAGTGCACAAGTGCTGATAGGTATGTGTGTGGTGTGTTTGTAAGTGTGTGAGAGTATCTGTGTGAGGTCCTGGGCAGACGGCATGTTAACGTAGATTTTAACGAATGTTGACAATTACGAAAAATTTGGTTTCTGGTTAAACGAAATGTGGGCCCAACGGGGCGTATGAGTGTTTGCCAAATGTGCAGCGGTATGTGTACACATGTATGTACGATGGCTGAAGTTTTCCTTTCCTTTCGTATCCTTTTATTTTTTTTCTTTATTTTTTTTTTGCATAAGTGTGTGCTGGGAGTATTTGTGGGGAATTTTTTTGGGCTGTGGCTCGCCGGAATCGCGGGAGAGAGCCCAAAAAATATCTACGGCCAAAAGAGCACCGAACTTCAGAAGCAAAGTTGTAATGGAGTCTGGGTCTGTGAGGGATTAACACCCATCGAAGAGTGCTCCGCAGAGAGTCCTTTTCGGGCAAGGTGGGTGCCAAGGAGCGAGCATCCTGCTAGGGCTTGGCTTTACATACAGCATGATGAGGTCCACTCTCGCAGGATAACAGGGTGAACCATAGAGCGCAGGCGCTGCGCAGCATCTGCGGCCACATTCCGATGAAATCCCGCCGGCGACAAAGCTACAAAACGGAGGCTGCCAGAGGTCCTGGCCAGGCTACAAAAACAAAACGGCCGTCAGTACGATTCCTGTGAATATCTATGCAGGACAGCACGGAGCAGGGCCCAAAGGCTCGCCCGAAAACCAGTGAAAGTGGTCTAAATAAAATATAGAAAAATATTTAAAAATTCTAACGACTAAGAATATTTTTAAGATTTTTTAGTCTTGAATTGACCAAGTGAAAATATTAATATAAGTAGAAAAATTATTAGGCGGCCTGAGAAAAACAAAATCAGCTGCCTGGGCGCAGCGGCTTCAGCTGCTCCAGCACTGCGCCGAATCGAAAATCTGTTGGCAGCAGCGAGACTTGGAGACTTGTAAACACATTTTTAGGCCATGTGCTAAAAGCCAGCTACTCGCTCTGCCCCAGCAACTGCGTCAGAGATTTTAGCCAAGAGGCAAGAGCCAAGAGCCAGCAGCAAAGGTAAACAAAAACCTGTGCGCGTGTGTTTGCATCAATAAAACACCGGCCGCCCGAGCAACGTCAAGGCCTTTTGTCCGCCGCGTGACGTCATCATGGCTCCTGGCTGCTGCACCACACGCCCAACCGCCCTCCTCGCCCACATCTGGCGTCACTGCAAGCCGCTCTGCCTCCTCTTGGTCCTCCTGCTCCTCTGCGAAACAGTCCAGGCCAATCCGGATGCCAAGCGACTCTACGATGATCTCCTCAGCAACTACAACCGCCTCATCCGCCCCGTTAGCAATAACACCGATACGGTGCTGGTCAAGTTGGGCCTACGGCTGTCCCAACTCATCGATTTGGTAAGCAAAGAATTTTAATTAGATTTCATTAATTAAAGTCGGGGGGGAATTTTTAATAAGGCCGGTCGGTCCCGATTCGCTACATTTGCTGCCAAATTAAAAAAGAAGCAAAAAACAGCGTCAAAGTTTCCAGCAACTTTCGGCGGCTCGTAAATAAAAAATGCTAAACAATAAACAGCAACAAATGGGGCGAATCGAAAGCTGGCAACGAGAAATCTATGAAGACATAATGACAGCCCCTAGAAACAGGGATGAATTCTAGCATTACACATAGAAAAAGGTCCGGATTTATTTCTCATGTTTAATTAGTATAAGATATACTGAATATATAAGAGAATGGTATTTTAATAGATAAAGTATGACAATGATATAAAAAGGATTATAGATTTAAATCTAAAAACAAATCGAAGAAATATATTCATTTTAGAGGTTATAACTGAAAATATTCTGACTATCATATTGGACTTACATTTTTAAAGTGTTTTTTTATACAATAAAAATATTTTAATTAATTTTATCACAAATTCTAGCTTGTTTATATTTTGAACAAAGAGTATATTACATACCTTGTGGAAAATCTATATATACCCATAAATATTTGTTTTTATCTATAATATCACCAATATTTCTCTCTGTGCATGGCCCGCGGCATTAAAGTGGCATATTTCAATTCGCAACATCAACTTTATTCCTGTCAGCACTGGTTGCTTTGCACCGCCAGATAAATCGTTGGCATTTCTCAAAAACTTCGGGCGAACGGGGAGCACTAGATTTTTATAACATTTCACTCCAACATTTCATTACATGGAGGGGCTCCGTTGTCTGCGCTTGCTTAAAGTTCCCCGGCCAAGTCATTTGTCAGCCGGCCGAGACTGCAATTCCGGGCTGCAGGGCTGGCACTTTGGGTTTTTGGGTGGTGGTGGCCTCACCGCCACCAGAAGGCTTAAAAGGTAATAAAACAAGCCGAAAAGGGAAAGAAGCCGTAAGCTGACAGCAAAAAGCACATTAGTCGGGGGACGGGACGAGAAGTGCAAATGATATAAGGAAGTGCCGGGTAGAAAAAAGGGAAAAATGAATAAAATGCAAATCCCCCTTGATGCATGGCTGGGCCTTAGTCTCCCAACTCCACTTCCCTTTACATTTTTTGCGGCTTGTCGAGTTCTTTCTTTTTTTGTTTATGCGAGCTTAATTCTTGCAGAATCTCAAAGATCAAATTCTAACGACCAACGTCTGGCTGGAGCACGAGTGGCAGGATCATAAATTCAAGTGGGATCCCTCGGAGTACGGCGGCGTCACCGAGCTTTATGTGCCCTCCGAGCACATCTGGCTGCCCGACATTGTGCTCTACAACAAGTAAGTTTCCCAAAGTGCCTTGAAAAAACCTTACATATTAAATTATACAGGAAATATGGTTCTGAATTTTGAAAACATTCAAATATCCCTTTTTAACCTTTAATTAATCAAAATAAAATATTCTTATAACATTTAAAATTTATTATTTTTGGTTTATTTTTAAGTAAAGAATTAAATAATTATTTTTTTTGCCATTTTTATTAAAAAATAATAAGTTAATAAGTGCCAAGTGTTTAAAAACTTATTTGAAGGTGTCAAAAGTATGCAATAAAAATATATTGGAATATATTGTTGCATACTTCTAAACATAAATGAATTAAAAACGAAAGATTTTATAAGATTTTTTTTTAGAAAATGAGCTGTTACTGTGATTTTTTTAAGAAGAAACCCTGATCCAAAACTTTTTTACAGTGCCGATGGCGAGTATGTGGTCACCACTATGACAAAAGCCATCCTCCACTACACCGGCAAAGTGGTGTGGACTCCGCCGGCCATTTTCAAATCGAGCTGCGAGATTGATGTGCGCTACTTTCCCTTCGATCAGCAGACCTGCTTCATGAAGTTCGGTTCCTGGACCTACGATGGTGATCAGGTGAGTGATGGCGCCACTGTCTCTGTCTTCGGTCCTCTGTCTCTGCCATTTCCCTGCAACTTGAGTCTCAGATAAATGGGCGTGGCCAACGATTTATGGCCCACCATTTATCTGCGAGATGAGAAGATGAAAAGATTCGGAGATGAGGGAGCGACTTACACGCCTAAGACGCGGTAAGAACATCGAAAAGGCGTCGTCGGCATCTCGCAGATTAAAATGTGAGAAATTGTATAAAAGTGTAATTGAAACTTGTCTAACCGCTGCACACACACATACACACACCCACATAGTCACCCACTCACGCACACTGTCGCTGAAAGAGAGCGGCACTAACTCACACAGAAGCACTCGACTGTGTGTGTCGCTGTCATAAAAATGCGCGGCCATAAATTAAGCCAAAGTGCGACTTCCACCCAGACCGAGCAGCTTCCGTTTCCGCTGACCCTTCACAGTTTTGCGCAAAGGGACAGGTTAGAAGTGCACTCAGAAAAAGGGAATCCATCTAAATATAAAACAGCAAATAAGGCCTCATCTTAGTCACAATCAACTTAAACCTCTTAGTAATAAATTAAATAACCTTTAGCAATCGCTATGCTTTCTTAGAAATTCAGCATTAACAGTACCTCATATCGTTAGAAATTTTTAAAAATATTTTCTCAGTTTAAAAAACCGTTTGAAGCATTAAAAATATTTAATTCACATGAATGTTTTTTTTTCTGAATGTGAGTATGTAACCATATTTTGTGGAGTGTAGGTTCAGGTTTTGGATAGGAACAGAACAGAAAGCCCTTTTCCACCGGGCGTTTGTCAACGCATTTAAATTTCGCTACTCCTTTAACGACTGCACTTGAGCGCCTGGCTGAAGGAGCAGGGATAGGGATACGCCAGGTGGCGATGGCATGGCAAGTGCCTTTGAAATGGACAGAGGTAGAGGCAAAGGAGCGTCACTTTAACGGCTCCATCAACGGGCTTTTCTCGATTCGCAGATCGATTTGAAGCACATCAGCCAGAAGAACGACAAGGACAACAAGGTGGAGATTGGCATCGATTTGCGCGAATACTATCCCAGTGTGGAGTGGGATATCCTCGGTGTTCCGGCTGAGCGGCACGAGAAGTACTATCCCTGCTGTGCGGAACCGTATCCGGGTGAGTTTAGTGGAGTTTAAAGCTTCCAATCGCCAGCAATTACGCGAAAGCTCTACCCAAACTCATCCCCTGAAAATTTCCCTTTCCCTCTTCCCCAAAAATTTACTATCTTTCTTTACGCAACTTCCTGGACTTTTGACTGGCTTGATGCTGGCCTGTTCAGATATCTTCTTTAATATCACGCTGAGGAGGAAGACTCTCTTCTACACGGTCAACCTGATCATTCCATGCGTGGGAATCTCATATCTTTCGGTGCTGGTCTTTTACCTGCCCGCCGATTCCGGGGAGAAGATTGCCCTGTGCATCAGTATCCTGCTGTCGCAAACCATGTTCTTCCTGCTCATATCAGAGATTATACCCTCGACTTCGCTGGCACTGCCACTTCTGGGAAAATACCTACTGTTCACCATGTTGCTGGTGGGGCTGAGTGTCGTCATCACGATTATTATACTCAATATACACTACCGGAAGCCGAGTACCCACAAGATGCGACCCTGGATAAGGTCGTTCTTCATCAAGCGACTACCCAAACTCCTGCTGATGCGGGTGCCCAAGGACCTGCTGCGGGACCTGGCGGCCAACAAGATCAACTACGGCCTCAAGTTCAGCAAGACCAAGTTCGGGCAGGCACTGATGGACGAGATGCAAATGAACTCCGGCGGCTCCAGTCCGGACTCCCTGCGGCGGATGCAAGGTCGAGTGGGGGCAGGTGGGTGCAATGGCATGCACGTGACCACGGCCACAAACAGGTGAGATATGCGGTCGATTCTTGTGGTCAATAAACTCCTTGTGAAGTTTCAATATATAAAAATGTGCAGCAATTTAAATTAATTATTAAGAATGCATTTCAACATAATAATGGATAATAAGAGTAATTAAAACTTGTATGATACATTTTCTTTGGTTTAGTTGTGATTGGAAATATTTATGAATAAGTGAGTCTAGTTTTTGATTGGAATTCTTTGGCTTTAGTAGTGTTGCGCAACATTAAGAAAACCCAATAGAAAATTTAGGAATAAGTATAAAATCATTGGTTCAGATTCTAAACTAAGGATATAAAGAAATATAAGAATTGTTAGGGGGTATCTTTGTTTATTTTAAAATGAAGATATTACTAAACCTACTCGAAATGTGTAAACCAATTTGTAGTAGTATCCTTTAAATAAGTAAGACCAAAGTATAGCGTACAACTGCCCTTTCTGATAGGTCAATGGAGTTCCGCACCCACGCACCTTTGCACATCCTGTCACAAGGACACTTTGATGACCTGTCATCCCTCTACTTACAGATTCAGCGGCCTGGTGGGGGCTTTGGGCGGCGGATTGAGCACCCTGAGCGGCTACAACGGACTGCCATCCGTGCTGTCCGGACTGGACGACTCTTTGAGCGATGTGGCCGCACGCAAGAAGTATCCTTTCGAGCTGGAAAAGGCCATACACAACGTCATGTTCATACAGCACCACATGCAGCGGCAGGACGAGTTCAATGCGGTGAGTCCGGTAGCTGATTGAATTTTTAATTGGAAATTCCGTTTGTCCACGGGCACCGCCGTCGAAGGAAACCGCAAAAATCGCTTTTGCCGGCCATGTCCTTCCCGGAGCTCACATTCATCTGGCTGGCCAGTTGGCCACTGCCCATCGGCCATTGGCCACTCTCTGTCTGATCTTTTGGCCGGCACTGGCTTTCTTTTACCGACTTATTTAAGCTTTTGCCATATTTGCACTTTAAGACAACCCGGCAAATCCACTTTTAATTGCTTTTGTTCAATTGACTGGCAATTGGCGTAGCCCCTTGGCAGTGCCAATCCACCCACTTCTCATCTCTTCATCAGCTGGTTTTGGCCAAAACGTTTCAATCAAACCCCGAATGTTCTTTGTTGTGTGATTGTGGCGTCTGGTCCCGATTTTTTCCGATTTTATCCCCCCTCAGCCCTACGCCCTTTGTGTTTTGGCCCTTTTCAGTCATTTATTTTTTCGGGCTTTGCTTTGTTGCCGCTGCGATTCCGCTCTTTGATTGATAACCGAACTGATGCCCGGGCATAAGTAGATTAAGCGAAGTGCTTAATGAAAGCCAATCGCTCAAAGTGTGGGCTTAAAGCGCAATTAACCGTCCTGCATGCAGACGGCTTCGTATTGGATGGAAGCCAAAAGAAAATTTTCAGAACACGAATGTTCTCATTTAATTTTATCCATATAATTATATTTAATAAGTATAGCATGTGAAATCGATCAATGAACTTGGAACAATATCCTCTTGATTTATTTTAATAGCCCTTTTAGGTTTTCTGTATTTGTTGTTCAAGAATTTAATACATATTTGACTAAATTTGAAGCATTATAATATGTAGACTTATATTAACATATGATAGAACACTATTCGTATGTAAATACTACGTAGTAAACCATTATAAAACCAATTTCCTTAGTATATGTATATGATACTTACTAAAACCATTTGGATTCTGTATCTCAACAGGAAGATCAAGATTGGGGCTTCGTGGCCATGGTCATGGATCGCCTGTTCCTGTGGCTCTTCATGATCGCTTCCCTGGTGGGAACCTTTGTGATCTTGGCGAGGCACCGTCGCTATATGACGACACCAAGGCCATTGATGTTCAGCTATCCGATGTTGCCAAGCAAATCTACAATCTAACCGAGAAGAAGAATTAAATTCAAGGGGAAAAAAAAAACCTTAAGCTTAAGACAATTTCCTAGTTTAATGCAGTGTTTCAGCAAAATTGATGCGAATGGAAATTAAAATTAAAATACGGTATAATAAAAACGTTGGCCCGAAAGCAGCCAAGCAAAATGCTGAAATGCAAAGCGTTCTTTTCTCAGCCCCCTTGCCTAAATTCAGCCCACATTCGCAGAGAGCTGCATGCCAGGAAGGTTAAAGCAAAAATTATTACAAGAAAAATGCTATGGAAAATACTCGTACGTAAGAGGATGCCAACGGCTTTGCACACACCCCCCCCCTTTTTTGCAGCCCCCTTTCTGCCGCCCCTGCTTTTTTCCCTGTGGCTGTCAAAACTATTTGCCAAGCATGTGTATCCAACAGCCAGCTGCTGCAACCCGCTTTTCCCATTTTCCCAGCGATTCGAGTACGAGAGAGTATGCCTGGCCTTTTATTTGATAACTGGAAAATTAACCTTTTGAAAATGCGGCAAATGCGCAGGCAACGGATGCCAACTCAAGGGGAAGACGCCGTCGAGGCAACGGGCTTGTGGAAATATAAGTTGATAATGAAGGGTGTGTGCATGTAATCCACTATAATCGTTGGGTTATTAAAATAAGAGCAACCAAAGACTCTTTTCGAGGAGCCAGCCAACCACGATAATTCTCCGAATGTACCAGTAGTTATATTTAACATCTTTATTTACAGAAGCTTGGGGTAGAACTGTGCAGTGAATAAAACAGAAAACTCCCTGAAGATTAAATTATGTAATTAAAATGAATTTAAATAAAAGATACTGACAAAAATATCTACTTCAATTATTGCTTATTTTATAAATGAACTACTTTTTGTATTTAAAAAACAGGAACATTGGGGTATGTTACCATAGTTACCATATTAAAAAACCTCTACCATGTATAACAAATAACTGAAATTTATATTAAAGCCACAGATGAGACCCTCGTACGGAGGAGATTTATTACTAGCGGCTTGATAAAGCCGCATCAAAGTAAAAGGAGTAAACGAGCCCCAAGGATCTGTGTGAGAAAAAAAAATGAAATACAAAATACCAGATCCAGCCAAAACAATTTCTCAGCCAGCTCTTCCAGTTGTGAGCTGGAGGCATCCATTCTGGTTGACTGACTGGCTCGCTGGCTGGCTTAAAGTATGCGGCAATCAAAAAATGTCTGCAAAACTATTTGCTACAACTGCAAAACTATTTCTATACAAATGTCACAATTTCTTGTTCGTCGTGCATACAGAATTTGCCTCCATTCTGGCAAGCTGGCTGTTTGTGAATGTCATTCAAATTGATGGGCAACAGAGTGGCAGGCCAGCCGCAGTGCCACGCCCCCTCCCCTTTTTGGGAAAAAGGGTTCTAGATGGGGGGCTGTCAATGTCAGTTTGCGCAAAGCAATTGCAATTTCTTACTGACTGCAACAAAAGGAATGGCGGCGTGAGTAACGCTGGCTCAGCTCAACAAGTCCTGTTCCTCGGGATCCACGTCCTTTGCTCCTTGTGCCGCAGGGTGTTCGCAGGATTTCGGGGTGTGTGTGTGCATGTATTTTGCATACATTCCCCACTATCGGGAATCACTTACGCACACACTTGCTCCCCATTCACTCACTCACCACCACTCACCCACTCACTCTCCCACTCACCCATTCATTCATTCATTCATTTTCCTTGGGTTGGTTCCGCTCCGCTGTCATGTTGACAAGTTCAATATGCTACAGAAGCACCCAGAACCCCAGAACCCCACCCACTGACTGAGTGACTTTGCCAGCTTGTCGCTTTTCGCATCTCGTGTGTGCGTGTGCATCATTTTCGCTACTTCCCGTCTACTTTTCACAGTTCAGCGAGCTGCTCTCCTTTATTTCCCCCCTATTTTTTGTTTCACGGCTCCAATTTAAATTCATATTATTTGTGCTTCACATGTGAAAAATATAGCAGAGTAGAGGCTGCTGCAGCGATAAACAAAAAGGTCGGATTTATGAGGCAGTCGGATGCTCTGCAACTAAGTGGGGCAAGGCCCGACGAAAGGGCCAACATCTGGCTATAGAAACCATTACTGTATGCAAAGTGAAAAGGAGCGGTTTTTATCGGTAATTCAGAACTGCTCTGAGATGTACTTTATCTAGCTGGGAGAACCCTTGGTGAATGGGAAAATACATAGATGAATTGCAAGACCAAAATAATTCAAGTTTATTTAAGTTTAACTATAAAAACATATAGTAATTTTTAAACAAAAATCATCATTTGAATTCTTTTAGATACCTACATGAGGTAGTTTTTAATCTTCATAATTTTCTAAACTGTAATCCTGATACAGAAATAAATAAGCTATTAAAAAACTTCAAGTTAATATGATATCATAATTACAACACAAAAATATTTAATGCTTATTAATAATTTACATTTAAATATGCCTTTTTAAACATTTTTTCATAGGAATTCATACACATATTTCTAGTATTTATTTATAAATTTCAGCTTCACTAAGGATTCACTTTTTGTCCCATGACAACAGAGCAGCCTTAACTAGATATTTCTCTAAGCACTTTTAATTCACATACTCCATCAATGTTTTTGCCTCAAAAAATAGTTAGCAAGATTGAGTTCCAATAAGTTTCTCAAAAAGTTGATTGGCATGCCACATTCTACAGCCAAACTAAGAATTCCTCATCACTTTTCAGCAATCCATTTTCATTTTGTGGACTCTACAGTTGGTGCAAAATAGTTCCCAATGCTGCAGAATTTTTGTGTACCTTCAATATGCACACATACAATATAAATATATATACATATATTTTAAGAATTTATTTTTATTCCCAGCTCTGGTTTTTGCTTACCATTTTTGAGTTGTTACAATTTGTTTTATTTTCGGGTTGCTCACGTATAATTCATTGCATACTTTTTGGCATGCAATTTCATTTCCCGATGACAGCAGAGTTTGCAATTCGTTTGATTTACCATTTATTTATGTCGTCTGACAAATTCAATTTGATTGCTGAATGCAAAACATTGAGGTCGTCGTTGGGTGGGAAATGCATTTGCTGTTTTCCACACTTTAAATGCAATTTCTGGAACGGTCAGGCAAAAGTTTTTTATCACAGTATTCCCTCGGTTTCCATTTCCGTTTCCGTTTTATCACCCTGCCCCTCCGACACCGCCATCTCCATCTCCATGTCGTTCCGGCTCAGTCACTCTGATATAATTAACGTTAACGGAGTGGAGTGGCAGCCTTTTAGGTTGCAACTGGCCACGCCCATTTGGCCAAGACGCCCCCTTTGGAACGATTAGGGCCGCGTGTCACTTGTCTTATTTTATCGCAAAAACAATTTGTCGTCGCCTGTGGCTGCCGACTTGCGGCAGAAGTTGCCCTGACAGCGTTTCCCGTCTTTGGTGGCAAATTTTATAAACGATTTATAAAAGTCATTGGCGCAGTAGTTGGCAGGCGAACTCAAAGTCAAGCACAAACTCAATTCGTTGACATGTGAAAACTTTCGACGCTTTCATTTATTTATGAATTGTTCGCTCGTAAAGTTGCAGCACACACATACACACCAGCACACACACACACCCAGATCACATCCAATTAGCATATTAAATTAAATAAATATTAAACTAACTGCCACACAACCCACAGCCATAGCCACATTACGTATACGCCGTGCAGTCCAACGTTGTCAATACTTAAAGTGATCAGGACCGCCCAGGAACCCATTCACCCACACACACCCACACACAGGGTGGCTAAACTGTCATGCAGTTAGTCATTCACTCATCAAACAATCCACCCACTTCCTCTCCCAGTCCCCAAGGATTATATGCCAGCGGCTTTTACGAGTCCTGTAGTCCTGTGTGCAGGGCCTGCTGGTCTGCTCATAATTTATGCCACTCATCTTAATAATTTTGGGCGCAAAACTTCAACTACGAGAACGTGTAGCTGGGGGAGGAGAAGAAGAAGGATGAGGAGCTGCAGGACGAACAGGACGAAACAGGACCAGCAGCAGGCAACCCAAATATTTTAAACATTTACTTAGCCAACATAAAAGCTCTCGGCTGGCAGGTGCAGGGAGATAGAAAAGCCAGTTCAACCGGGGACCCTGAGCTGAATGACCCTTTGATCTAGTTCCATTCGCAAATTGATTCACTTTATCAACTTTCATCTTTAGGATGACTACTTTCGGAGTCGAGTAAAACTTTCAATTGCTTTATTTGCGACTATTTATTATTTGATCTAGTTCCATTCGCAATTGATTCACTTATCAACTTTCATCTTAGGATGACTACTTTCGGAGTCGAGTAAACTTTCAATTGCTTATTTGCGACTATTTATTATTAAGACTGCACTGCATATTTAGAGGTGTTTCGGTTAGCTTTTAGTTTAAATGGAATGCTTGGGTTTCTATTACGGGTATTTCTTCTGGGTTTAGTTTATAGCTTAAAGTTTCAGGTCTCGAATAAATAGCTATAATACATTTCTTATTAAATGTATATCAAAACATTCTAAGCTATTTTTTTTTAATAAACTTGTTCATATCCCTACTTAATACATTTTTAAAATTGAACAGTTTCTTAAATTCCATTTTTTAGTTAAGATCTGAGATTCTTTTATCACTTTCCATCCCTGGGCTCTGGTACCCAGTTGGCTTTACCTTTGCCTTGGTATGTTTCATCAGCATCGTCATCATCTTGTCACACAGCATCTTTTACATTACTAAATTCACACACCCACATGTCCCATGTCCTCAACCTGGACCTCATCCTCATCCCCATCCCCTTATTTCTACCCATACCATCTCTATTCCTATCCCCATTTGCTGTTTGTTTTAGTGCCAATGTAGCATAGTTTTATGCATATCCAAGTAGTCCTATGTGCAACGTCTTTGTTATGGCATAACTTCATGTGGGCGGCCCTCGGTGTGCATGTAAATGTCCATGGGGGAGTCTATCGGGAGGTGGGTATCAGGAGGGGAATCACTTGGTTCCTTGACTTGCTCTCAGGCAAATTTTACTTTACATTATCCCCCCGGCCAGCCTTAGTCCCAAAAACTTAAGCGTTTTGACTCCTCTTGTATGAAAATATCAGCTTATCTTGGGTACCATTCCGAATTGATTATGAAATTAAGTTTTAAGA